ATGCGTATCCCGACAGGCGACCTGTGTATCTCCCGCCTCCGCCTGCCCGATCAGCCCACAACTCCTTGCGCTCAGGCCATACGGAACTGTGGCAGCCCTGGAGACCATGGACTAGCCGTCGGCTAACGACCATCTTGGGGCGTTATGACTCAGCAAAAATCTGCCATGCTTCATCTCTGCATTCCTTTGGCAGGTCCCTGACAGGCATTGAGCATGTGCCTGAGCGCCTCTTCGTTTCAGCAGCACTGGCTCTTCCATATGCACACTGTACCGTAGATTGTGACCTTCATCCTTCCGCCTCCACGCCTCGCCGGCACCTCAGCCGCGACCATCCTGTGCCTGTGAATGCAACCGCTTGGCTCAGGTTGGAGGTGTCCTCGCCTGGAGCTCAGCCTACCTGGCCAGTATCTCCGCCTCATTGCGCCCTGCGAGCCGGTGCTCGGCTTCAGGTCCATGTGGCAGCTCCGGCTGCGTCGCCCACCTTTTGGTCATGTCCTTGGCCGCTCTGCCTCCTGAATGCACCTGCCCATGTCTTCTGTGTGCCGTTAGCCTTCCCTACTGCACTGCACAGCAGCTATTGTGAGCTCAAAGGCAATCTGCCGCGCATCAGGTGTTTTTGTCCATGGCTCCTCGAAAGCGCCGGCGACTTCCTCTACCGCTCGCGGCCCTAAGGCAAAGGCGAAGTTCAGAGCCAGGACCGTCGTCCCTCTCTTCAGGCTCCTCGCCCTCTGCTGCTCCGCGCCCAGCGGCTTCGGCTTCGGCTTCGGACGGTCTCCCGGATCCCGACAGCGCCGAGCTTGATGAGATCTCGGCCCGATTCTGGGCAGATTCCTCGGATGAGGCGGCGGATGCAGATGCTTCTCCTCGCGCGACAGCGGGCACAGGTTCAGCTTCCGGTGTGCGCAACGGCCCTCCGCCACCCATGCCGGTCAACAGGCCTGCTGCTGCGGCTCTGGCTCCGACTGCAGCACCCATTGCGGCGGCCCCTTACATGGTGGGAGGGCGTCCTGGCTGGAGCGAGGTCTCTCGGGATGACTTCCGCATCCTCGCAGCCATTCCGGTCGGAGTCCTTATGCGTTACGCTGCTGCATATCTCTTCACAGACACGGCAGCAGCAGCACGTCGTGCATAGGACCCTTTGCCAGTGGATGTTTGCAGCCTGCTCTGTCGCGCGGCAAAATAACTGCACTGCCTCTGCCAGGCGGCCACTCTCCTCTTCCCCTGCCCTGCCTTAGCTCGACTTGTCTCCCCTCAAGTTCTCTTCATTGCAGACAAGGCCCTGCAGGCTGACCTTTGGCCAGCTTCCCACATATGCGCTCGGCTGCGGCCCGCAGGTCGTGCTCCGGCCCCTGGTCCCCCACAACATGCGGCCCTGTGCTCGGCCAATGCCCAGACCTTATCAGCTCGGTCATTGCATGCCACAACCGCCCTGCACTGCTTCAAGCTTATGTGCTGCATTGATTGGCGTATGGGCTCAGATCCCTGGAGCACTACACCTGAGGTAGGCTGGCTTCGAGGTTCCTACTTTGCAGACATGGGCCTCCTGAAGCGCTGCCAGCGCCTCCTCGGAGACGACCTCTTCGGGGGGCGACTTTGCACCCCTCTGACAGGGAGTACTTGGAGAAGATCTGCCCGGAAGTCTTTCTTCCACCACCAGCCCACTGGAGGCTCTCCCCATCCGAGGTCAAGCTTGCGGGGTACATCAAATGGGACGGGGAGCCGCCCCCTCTCACAGTGTTCCTTCGGCCAGTTCTTGCGCAGGCGCGGGCGGCCCCCAGGGCAGAGCTCTCGGATAGCGCGTGCCCAACCCCTTCTTCGAGGACCACGCGAGACAACGATGAGGAGACAGAGGAGGTTCTGGTTGAGGCAGAAGGGCCGTCAGCCTCTTCCAAAGCTGCGCTGCCCAGGCTGGCTCCCAAGCCAAAGGTACGCTCCGACCCGCCGCCGGCTGTCAAGCCTGTCAAAGCTAAGTCCATGCCGAAGGGCCGGAGGACGCCTATGCAGGTCACAGCCTTTCCGGGCCCTGGACTGCAGGCCACTTTTCTCCGGGAGTCCGACTCGGCGGAGGGCACGGTGGTGGCGGTCACAACCGACACCATTCAGGTGCACTTGAAGGACGGCTCCTATGGCGAGCTCACGGTGCCGGGGTCCTTCCGAAAGTCTTTTCGGTGTGGGGACGTAGTCAAGCAAATGGAAGTGGTGGGGATGGAACCGGAGCAGCCCATCCTCCTGGCGCTGACACGCCCGGCCCTGGCGGTGGACGGAGTGGACATAGACCTGTCTGCCATGGAGAGGCCGAAGGGCTATGCCAAAGATGCCCAGAAGCACAAGACGTCTCGGGCTTCCCGCTCCCGCTCCAGACGTCGCCGCCGCAGCCACAGAGGCAAGAGCAGGACCAGACGTATGTCATCAAGCACACCGCGTACGCCTGAGCCAGCCAAAGGCCATGTCCCGGGCACCTCGAGCACTTCGCCGCCGGGATCGCTGATCTCGAACCTTTTGTCCCCTGGCCACCTGAGCTCTGTACAGGCTGCTGGAACGGATCCCGAGGACGAACGCTCTCCAGTGTCCCATCTGTCATACATGCAGCGCTGTGCTTGCAGCCCCCCATGCTCCTTGCACTTCCCTGAACCCCGCACTTGCTTCGGTAAGCATCTCAGGGTAGCTCGATTTAGATGCAGCCCACTCAGGTCACGACATCGCCGTCTCCGTGCACGACAGCGTCCGTGCCGCTACCGCTCAGCTCGGCATTGTAGCTGCCTCGTTGCTGCCCTCCTCCTTGCTGTGTTCTTCTCGTGCTGCAGGCATGCGGTCATCTTCTGGCGACCGACGCACACACAC